TGGCTGGTGTAAGAGAGAGGGATGGGACAAATGCGTTTAAAGGGCAAAGAGACAACGGAAAGAGGGATGCTGGGATGGGACAAAAACAGAAGTGGTGAGGGCAGATGGAATGCGTTTGCGATCCTCCGAAAGGTTAGAAAGCCTCCCGGTTCACTAAATCACTCGAACCTACGGCTTGCATTCCAGCAGAAGCAAAGAGAGGGGTAGTCGTCCTTTATATTTTATTCACGTTTCATTTCACCCCGTTGTTACTAACTGCGGTGACATCTTTCTGCATCCTCGTCGACGCGATTATCCCGCGAAATTGTTTTCTCCATTTATCGTGAATTTCGTCGACCGGCCGTGTATATTTGAAACTTCAATTATCTCTCGTGAAACTTTTCTACGAATGCGGGTTACGACCCGCGCGTGTTTCTACCACGGATAAAAACTGACATTCTTGGAACACGGGGGAACAATCTTGTCAACTCGTTAGTTCTGTGCACCGGTTTTGTGTATTCTTCTTCGTGAAATATTTTGGGTGAAGATAATATTAAACAGAGAGCAACCGCGGCTGTAAAGTTTCTCGCTTGCTAAGGCACAGCTGCACTGTGGCTACGGTAAATTGCAAAAAGCAATTTTATTTAGTATCGTCATTTCTATTTAAACACCAGCTAGACGATATTAACACTTTACCGACCGGTAACCTATTAATCGGCTTTTTGCCGCTAACGCTTACCGACCGGTAGCCTATTAATCGCTTTTCTGCCGCCAACGCTTTTACCGACCGGTAACGTATTAATCGCTTTTTTGCCGTCGACACTTTTCGACCGGTAGCCTATTAATCGGTCAGAGATTGATTTAACATTTCTATAGGTATAAGAAAAAGCGCATATATTCCCGCGCGATAGCTTAGAGACTGAACAGAGCCGGTGTCAGCGATGTATCTGTGGCCGAGTGAACGGTCGGAAGTGCGTAGGATGTTTAACCACTATCGGTCGGTAAAGTGTTACTTTTAGTACCAATTAGTGATTCATTTTCGTATCGATCAGAATGTGAAAATTTTTTTGATATTTTTGCTACAAATATGGTTTTTCGCAATGAACATAAATAATATACATTCGAGTGCGTAATTTCATGGATATGTGTTACATATATTAGCGTTTTATACACTAGCTGTAGCAATATAACAATATGTTCGTGCTGTGAAAAACGAACCTTTCTCTGCAATTATGATCTTTAGTACCCTGCTTTTAAAATGTTCATCTGATAAGTACTAAATGTTTGGAATCACTGTGCATTGCAAGTTGCACAAAAATTCCCCCCAAAATTTATAATAATTTTTTAACGAATTTTTTATCATTCAAATGAATCGAAATGAGGTAAAGTGCTATTGATCTCCACAACATCAATTTCAAATCACTAAAGAATTAGTAGCAGATTCAGTGTTAATGTAAATTGCCAGGTGATTCCAAACTTTTGGCCGGTAGTGTAGGTAGCACACGGGGACTTTAGAAATGAAGCACGAGGATGAGTTTACTACTACATATGAGACTATGACTTTATTAACACGTTGAATGCCGTGGGGGTCATCGGTGACCGGCGGTGTCAAGATTAGTGAAAGCATTTAATTTGAATAAATGGTAATATTTGTAAACTTTTCATCTAATGAACCGCACAGCATATTTAAATAACTCTATTTCTAACTGTCGAGATATTATTTACGCATACTGGGATGTGTTGTATTTAAATAAAAAATTCATTTCTGCGCCATGGACAAGTTACGTAGAATTGGTCCAGCATTCAACCTGTTAACACTAGGTTTACGGGACGTGTGATTTTGGCGCATTTCGAATTTCGCAAGGAAAATTACAGAAACTGTTTACATCCCTCTCCTACCACTTATGCTTGTTATCAATTTTTTATAAATACATATAATCACATAGTTTCATTTCTAAGTTAATATGGTGTAATATGTTGTTTTTAAATAAAATAACTTGTTTTGACTCATCGTCAATACTTTGAAGTATACATATAAGAAATGTCCGTAAACCTATACATCGTTCAAAATAAGAGTAACCTCGCTCTCGGACCGATTCTCGTCCGTTCTGCGCTACTCCGTAGGCGGTTAAGTGGGGGGTTTGGACGTCTACTGGTTCTAGCCCTGTGCCTTAGGCACGTCCCATGCGCGGAACGAGGTTACTCTTACTCTGAACGATGTACAGTGTTAAGTGTGAAAAAAATTTTATATAACTGATGTTTGGACGTTCTAGTGGTTCTAGCTCTGTGCCTTAGGCACGTCCCATGCGCGGAACGAGGTTACTCTTACTCTGAACGATGTACAGTGTTAAGTGTGAAAAAAATTTTATATAACTGATCATAAGTGATTATTCATGAAGAAGGAAATGCAAGAAGAAATGTCGGTCTCCTTAGCCTTGAGAAATTCTGCCGTGAGAAGAAAAGGACGAAGTCATCCTTGAAGTTAGTACGCGGAAGCACAAAGTACTGTAATTATTACTTTTCACTGCAATTATCGAACATGCAGACTCACTCACCGTACATCTGCTGAATCCCGTGCTTGTCGTCCTCCGGCAGCTCGTAATTAGAGCTCAATCCCTGGTACCATGGGTACATGAGCGCTCCAGGAACCGAGCTATGTGCCAAGCCAAGAGAGTGGCCAAATTCATGCGCAGCCACCGCGAACAGGCTGGTCCCTGAAAGCCAAAGAAATGTTCGAGATCTCGTCATCTTACTCGACTATTCATATTCCCAACCACGCAATTTTTATTCGCATCATCCGCATCTTCTTGCAACTTTCTTCTTCGATAATAAAAGAGGCCTTGCTCTAAGGAGGATGAGCCATATTAAAGATGCTCGACTCACAGGAAATATAAAAATTACGAGGAAGATGGATTGCTTACATATCGCTTGTTATTTTATGGTCCATTAGTTATCGTAAGATCGTAAGACAGTTTGCAAAGGAAACAAAGCTCCGAGTTGTGCTAAAGTACGATGTAATAATTTTTATGACCACTATTTCCGTACTGTAAAGTTCAGTTAAGGGGGTCTTCTAGTGTGACGGCCGTTTCTTTAGGCCTTCCCTGCTAATTTATTACAGAAGTACGGCAACAGTTATTAACACGAGCTTTATTCCTGTATATTTACTTGTCCTTGAAGAATCCTTAGAAATTTTTTTTGGTCAAAAATAGTTAGATATGGCTGCTGTGAAACACGTCAAACAGGAGCATGAAAAAAAAAAGTAGGTCCATGGTTGCCATGATTTGAGCTGTTCTGCTGATCAGAAATAAAAAAATCCAATTAATTCTTATTTAGTATGCATGTCGCTATGGTCGGTAGTAGAATAAAAGAAAAATATTGAAAATTAAAAAAATGGCGGCACTTTGAATACGAAGTATCGACTCTTTCGACTTTTTTCGTCTTTCAGAGGCTCTAAAAATCAGAAAAATATATATTTTGGCATAATTCTACTACCGACCGTAGCCATTGGCCTTTGATGTGTCACACTGAACGAGCTATAACTTCGTTACTTTATTGAATACAACTATAAAACTTCAGTACATTCTTAAAGAGTTGTACTTTCGATATATGCAAAAAAAAATAGCAATCGATGATACTAAATCCACGACGAAACAACACGGAACTTAAACACGCCTTTAAGTGAATCAACTTGCGCAATAACTAGAACGATTGACAATGTTTACCTTCCGCATGTAGGTACAGGGGGATTAGGCTACACAGCGGGGGGATTTAACTGTTTACATTGTTACCGCTCTGACGGGAACAAAATTATTTTCGAAACTTTAATGTCAGCTCTCGTAAATTATACGTAGGATGTAGTTGATATTATTCAAAGACCAACGTTCAATTTTCTAACAACTTTATCAGTTCTAGTGATTTACAATATTTACTCTGCCCCTGCCGAAACTATTCGAGGAAGATGCTAATATTCCAATGGACTTGTAAATCCTGATGTTCCTCATCGTTTGCAAACGTCCTGGCAGTTCCCCACGGGATATGTCGGCGGTATTAGCAATTCATAACTGATACTACTATTTCTACCACCGTATACTTTGCCCATAAAGTTGTTTCGTTTCCCCTTTACGGATATCTGTAATAATCGAGTGGTTGGAAATACAGAATAACACTATTTCTTCTGCCTTAACTGACAGGCGTTTTGAGAATTTTGTAAAAACATCAAACTTCTTTTAATACACGCTGTAATTTTTAAATAACGCGTATTTAATACTAGAATTTCTCTGTGCCGATGATGATGCTTTTAACTTATCGAGGCCCTGATTTCGTTGTTAATGTTCTAAACTAATCGATTGTTCTAACTGAATTAAGAAAGGAAGTCCGGCAACCTGAAAATTAAAGAAAACTCGCAGAAATGTAGTTCAAACCATTTTTTGTTTCGGCAACGAAACGATTCTTAGTGAAAACAACCCCTCAAAGAAATTGCGAGTTTTCATATTATCGTGAATATTTACAAAACCGTACAAGATGTAGAAAAAGAATTAAATTCAAAATTGTGTGGTTTTTGATATCTCAGTGTAGCGTTACAACACTCTTGACTGACTGCGAGAGAGATAACATAAGCGCAGCAATGACGCAGACCTAGGCGTAGGACCATCTATACTGACACTTGTAGAATCCAAACTGGCTGACACTTGTAGAGACATTACTTTAGTATGTGGAAAATTGTCTTGTGACGAAACGCGAGGGTAAAAGGCATACTCCGCTGATTTCATATGGCTCCAGCTGCAAATTTTTCGCGGGTCCTTTAAAGTGTTCGCGTTCTAATATTAAACAAAAACATGTCAATTAAAACGTAGTCACATTAAGAAAAATAAGAAAATTCCTGTTTTGGATTAGATGTTGTCATATTGATAAAGGTTTAACCTTGTCATGTCCCAATCTACCCTGTTCTTTTTGTCAAGATCTAGCGTATGTAACACAAATAATGCTAGTGTCAAATTTTGTTTTATCAAGGTAATGAGTACCACGCTGCGCAGACTTTCATAATGCGACGTGACTATCGGGATCTACCAACAGGACTTCAGGAATTTTTCACAATCTGATAGGTTGATTTATCGTCTCACAGAAATATTACATACAAAGGATAATAAGATTTAATATAACAATGATACAGAATTCACAGTGTACACGATTTGTCAACTTAATATTAAAGAACAAGATGCGAGAATGAATGGACACGAAGGTACCAAAACCCGTTCTACGGCTAAAAAGCTATCGATCACGTTTGAATTTTTACGCCAACTTGACAAAATCAGTGAACTTAGCAGTTTGAATATGCGAGCAGCGCCATTATGGGCGGACTCTTGACGACGTCGATGAACAGTGAATGATTACGGAAATGCTAATTTATGGACTATGCTAATGGAAACTATGCAAAGCCAGCAGAGAACGAGAGCCAAGCCAGAATTATTAACGAGGCCAATCGCAGTTGCACTCTGAATCTATCAAAATCGGACCAGGAGTAAATAATCTGCGATACAGGAAACGGTTGGTGACTGATTCTGATTACGCATTCCAATTTCTTGCTGCATTCTGATGCTATTTCACGATTGTGGATTGCATTTCTAAGACGCAAAGTTATATTTCATATAAAAAAGTTGTGTAAATTCAATGTTGTGTGGTTTCTGATGTTTTATATTGCGGGGTTAAAGAATTTTTGAAAGAAAGAGTGGTGGGGATGGATTAAAAATTAATTTTTCGAAAATTCTTTACGTCCGCAATGTGGGGTATCAAAAATCACATAACTTTGAATGTAACTTTTTTCTCTATATCTTGTGAATATTCGTGATAATACAAAAACTCACAATCTCTTTGAGGAGGTATTTTCACGCCTAGGGTTGTTTCATTGCCGAAACAAAAAAAAGGTCTCATTATTAGCGTCACTTGAATTAATTTCTGCAGTTTCAAATTTTTTTGAATATTCGAGTTGCCGAACTTCCCTTGTCGGCTCAGCTGTCTCTCGTAAAGCAAAAACTAGTTTTCCCAATTTCTCCTTCAAGGGAGGTGTTGGAAGGTTTCACGGCATGTGTGAAGGTGCATTTAAATCACAATGTCCGTTTCGTTCGAACAAATTGACCAATACATTCTAAAATGCTCTTCTTCCAATTATGACTATAAAACTTTCGCGAGAGAGTCAAGTGACAAATTCCAACGTTGTTGTCTAAGAAATATACAAGCCTTGCAATTAAACGAATGATTCCGAGAAATGACGATGTTCTGTCCAGTCCGTAGCGTGAGCCTAACTTGTGCGATTCAAGCAAGCATGCAATTTAGTTAATATAATCATCGTATTGAAAGATTCACAAACGTAGATCAATAGAAGAATTACTTTTTGCTGTGACATTTTTACAAATGCACGAAAATTTTGCAGCAAGATATGGTTTTTCGTTGTGCTAATTAAGAGTTACGCTACGCAAGGTTCTTCGAACACATTTATTTCTTCTAGAAGGCGTAGATTATTAAATGTTTGCGTACCTTCCTCGTTGTCGTCGTCCTGCAACAACCATATTTCTTCCTCGTCGAAGTGAACGTCTCCGCCGCGATCTCTGCCAGGAAAGAACGCATGCGCCAGAATCTGGCCTTTGCCATCGAATGGATATCCATCACCGTGATAACCTCTAAAATGGAATGAATAAACGTTAGTGGATATTGAATTGATACAAATAAGAAACCACGATGCTGAAATAGATTTGAGAAGATATGCACGCTACTGGTACATATTCAAATTGATTCACACTGTTTAGTGTTGCTGGCATACTCGAATATTTGAGTAGCTTGAAATTTGAACGAGTAATTGAAAAAATCGGGTAGCTCAAAAGAATCGAGTAGCTCGAACGTTCATCTTTTAAATTGCTCGGAACATTTGAGGTACTCCATAACGAACGGGTCGTCGTGCCATTAGTGCACACCATACACATTAACCATTTGCGGACGAGTGTCGGCAAATAGCCGCCCAAGCCTTTTTACCGTTGCCGGCGCGTGTCGGCAAATAGCCGCCCAATTCTGTTTACAGCTGCGGAGACGTATTATGAAGCGGCTCGCGTACGTCTATTCTTCTCAATTATAAGATACGCATGGGTATAGTACACTAAACAGTATCACGTTTCCTTTGAAAGAAAATTAGAGATCTTCAGCGATGAGGTCTTATCTTCCGTTTAATGTAAACTCACGATGTGGGATGATGTGTCTCGCGTTTTTTTAAATCTTAGAGGATTTCGTTGGAACAGCAGAGGACTTAAGGGTGTATTGGATAAAGGGAATGTGGTTGAGGCCTTGTTCTGTATTTTAAAATAAATCTTCACTTTGAGTTGTTGAGGCGCGAGTCAAAGCGACGCGCTTAATGGATGCCGGATATAACCGGCACTAGCCCAGTGCGAAGCATTTAGTGGATGCCGGATATAAACGGCCGAAAGGGTTAAACTCGGATCGCTTTTTCCGAGTACTCGTACAGCTCTAGTCCGCACATTTAAAAAGAAAAATTCAAGGAAAAGTCGAGTAAGTTTATTGTTGACTTGATAATTTTTAACAGAATAAGACTCCAGTGCGTACTACTATTCGACAATGATTTTGGTGTATATAATACGCACACACTGTAAAAATATTTCTTCACGGTTCCAATCTAAACACAATTGAAAATGTATGGTAGCAATTATAAAACAGAACACGAAAATACCACGTAGCAATTAATTCACAACTGAAACAATTACTTTTGAAGGAATAAAATAATAATTAGGCTGAATTAATTCTGATCAAGAGTAAACATAAATTCGTTAAATTCCGTAAACCTTCTACCTCTTACTACAATAAGATAGTAACATAAGACTCGATATTATTCAAGCGTAAGAAATTTCTACACGTATTTCACACTTTCGTTACTAATGGGACACATATGTATATCCAACTTGAGTACTCGAACAAAAATTGGCCTGCATTTGGTATCGATTAGAGTCACGAGGATCAGTAGAAAAGATACGAATTTAAAACACAAAAATAATTCAAGTCACGAAAGGGTTAAGGGGCCTTGCATTTTGGTGCTGTTGGCAAATGTCTCGTGGACAACGATACTTGCGGCCCGATGTAACAACGCGTCTGGAAAATGGTACTTCCGCAAATGAACTTTCACCGCAAATGTTTGAAAATAGTATTATTCCATTTCGAATGAAATTCTCTCAGTTAGACGATCCCGCGTCAGCAACTCCGTTCGCACGTTACCTGGTGTTTATTCAGACCCTGCGACAGCTCTAAGTTCTCACGGTATTTCGGCTGTGCGATGCACAATCTATCGCTTAGTTTTGCGGTTCGTTTAATTTGCCCTTTCTCTACAGTTAGAACGAGACGGGCCGCACCGTGCGCCGTAATTAAATTCCGCTCGCGAGCACTCGTCGATTATCTGGACAGCCGATACGCCATCAATATCTGTCCGTACCAATCGGGTAGCTAATCAGAAAAGCGGATCGTACCTTTTTCTTGTTCTTTTCTTTTTCCCCGTTCTTATCCATTTATAAGGTTTCTCGAAAAACGGCCACAGTGATAGTGTCTTCTTTCCGCTCCAACAGAAGGGATTCTATTTAGAACAATTCTTTTCTAACGATTGTACAATAGAAATAAGCCATTCATATTCGAATATTCGCGTGAACGTATACAAATTGCGAAGGCGTCTTCTGTTACTGTTTTACGAAGTGACTTCGTTATCACTTGTGAATAAAAAAAAAAAAAAAGGAACAAAATTTATATCACTTATTGTTAGAATTTAGGTAAAAGATAAGTATCTTATACTGCATCAAAATGAACGATTGTTAATTTTAAATTTTTTTCAAAAAATTATCAAATATTGGCATAAATTGTACAAGGTATTTGCAGTACAATATTACACCAAAGATTATACATATGTATACAGTATGTCCATTTTAAGCGTCTATAAATAAGTATTAGAAATACGAAAAGGTGTTTCAGACTAAAGGGGGGCATATAATGACGATAATTATTTGACCTTGAGGTAACCTTGGAGAGTCCTGCGAAGGTCACGTTTACATTTTTAAATTCAACCCTATATTTTTTATTGTATATTCTTGTAGCTAATACTGAGACGCTAATTACATATAGACGCTTAAAACGGACATACTGTATAACAGTACGAGACGTAGCTAAGTAACCTATAGATGAATCGTTGTGGCCGAGTGGCCATTTATGATTTACACTACCTATGTATACCTATGTGAAGTCTTCGTTAATTTTTCTCACAAAGTATTATTTGATTAATTTTATCAAGCCTTTTGATTATTCTTATTATACTGTTTGAAGACATTTTCTTCATCGATGGCCGCCGCAACCTCGTGAATATTATGCACTATAACGCCACCTAAGTTTCTTCTCGAAGGATCATCCAATTACACTGTTAGGAAACTCTATCACACCGATGTTGCTTTAGTCTCGTTTATTTAACAACTAAATTATTAATCCCAACTAATTCAACGTAGAAAAAGCCTAAGTGTTCCATAAATCTACGAGAGAAGCCTAATTACACAATTACTACGAGATCTTTTCAGAAACCTACATGATCAATAATCGGTTGAAGGCTTTAATGGTGTCTGATACACGACAAAGCCTGCGAGATATTGTACGCAAATGAGGTATACATTATGCAATAGTCTCTCGCCGCTTATAAATTACAGGAAAACCAATGAGTTAGATAAATGAGTTGAGCGCAATTTAGCAAGGCACCGATAATGTGCACTTTCATTTTCAAGTTGGAAATAACAAAATTTCATTTCATACAATAATACGATCGTCGATAAAAAATGGATTTTATATGGTAATCGTCGGTAGTTCGCTTTTAATATTGTTCAATATTGATGAAATCTCTAAATAGGGGAGAGCGGGGTAACTCCGGCCACTTTAATATCTCAAAATAAAAAACGCGTGATTTGACTTTGTATGGTACTGCCACTTGGTAATGGCGCAACTAGCTAATATTCATCGTTTCTGTGACTATAGCAGCTTTTTGTTTTAATACCTAAATGTTCATTTTGCAACGAAACCTTGTAACAGTGGGCAATTTTCAAGCAAGGTAAATTAGTACTTAGAATCGACATAAATAATTATTATTTTCGTCTTATTTCCAGCCATAGAATCTTCTTGACCCCATTTGTACCACGAATCACGGACCACCCTGTATGTGTACGTGCATTGTAAACTTGCTATTTGAAATGCAAAATTTTAAACATCGTCTGAAAGGACCGACCGTGTTGTACGAAGCACAGGTAAAATACTCGAACGAGTCAAAGGCGTTTACAAGGGACTGTATAAAATGGTTTGGTGAAAATTTATTCAGTACCTATTAATCTTCGAGTTATCGCGTGGGAGGATGAAAATCGATCACTTTGTATACCATGTAAAGCGATTGTTACAGTAAACGAGACAATTGGTAAAGCTGGATACTCACCGATGGAAAAAGACCAGAATATCCGCTCTATCGCTGTTAACTTCCTGGAAGATGAGCTTCGAGTTCCTCGCCCAAAGATCGAGGGCTCTGCTTAGCTCGAAACGAACACCGCCTGTGTCGAGGCCACTCGGTTGTTCGGTTCTCAGGCTGCAAAAAAAAAAAGGGGGAAGGGAGATCGTTAAGAATCCGTCAAAAATCAATTCCTAGTGGTAAGCGACGCTTTTATCCCCTTTATCGGTTCTCGTCGAGACGCTTCGATTCGATAACCACGCTAGTGAACCGTGGAAAATGTTTCCGTTGACAAATTCTGAAAGAAAGACGATTTGGTCGGTAATAGTATGAGACCTCAGGAAATTAGGTAAATTATTTCCAAACGGGAAAATGAAAGTAACGAGGGGAACGGTGGTGCACGCGGAAACACGGAAATTTCACGAAATTACTGAAACGACGTTTCCGCAGAAAATAAGGAATTAAGGGAGGAATACAATTTCCGGTAAGGTCTAAAGAAAAATCGATACCTCGTTGAGTTCTGAATTTAGTAAATTCATGTCAAATTTATTTTTGGAAAACGATTGCATTTGGTGAGGATAATCAGTTGAAAAATAGAAATTAGGTAGTGTTGGTGTTTTACTGAAAATTATAAATTATAAATTTATAATAATAATTATTACA